CTACCTGACTCTACCTGACCCTACCTGACTCTACCTGACCCTACCTGACTCTACCTGACCCTACCTGACTCTACCTGACCCTACCTGACTCTACCGATGTGATTCGGCTGGAGTATTTGAGAGTGCCTTCGGAGCCTCGCACTCTCAGGAGAGGAAGCACATGGGACTCGCTCCCACGTCCCTTGTGAAATCAAGCGGCGCGTACGGCGTGCCAGACATAACATAATTTATCATGGCGAGAAGGGTGGTATCAGCGTGGCGTCGGGGCGGCATCGATACAAAAGAAATGGATTGGCACTCGACAAGGTCATGGATATCTAAGTCTGCACTTCCGATACTGCCATTGTGTGATATCACCTGCGTTGGTCTGTCTTGCACCGCGGATACACAATGATTCTCATGCGCGTTATCGTGGTCCGTTGCTCCCGTCGTGATCGTCTTGAAAGCATGAAAACAAAAATCATCACTAGCATGGTACAGTGGGGCGGACGGAAAGGTAGTCTTGCGTTGCGCCCTGCGCTCCGGCAACGTCATTTCCTCCCTCTTTTGGCACAGACAACATACAGCTGCACCGGAACAGCGCAAATGGAGTCGAAAATCTGAATGGTCAAGAATGCTTTCTCCGCGCTTCGCAGACCACAAGTCCTGTCCCAAACATGTTTGGTATCCGTAGCCCGTCGAACTTCCTAGCCCATGGAGAATTAGATAAAATCCTTCTTTCGCCTCGAATCGACTCAAACCCTCGCCCGAGCGTTGTGGTTGTTGTCTTCGGCGAGCGCGCCCGGTTCCTGTCGGAGATGTGTCGGCAGAGTGTGACAGCGTCGGGAACTCGGGAAGTCTTCCCAAAGGTCCGAAAGATGACATGCTCATGGGAAAGCGGAGAACATTATGCGGTGGTCGGTCGCATGCTTTGGAAGTGTGTGCAAAGGGTGTTGGTCGTGGGCGAAGCCTAATCGACGGGGAAGCCAGAAGGTGACCCTATCTTCTTCCAAACCTGCTAACAATGAATGGAATCAGCCCGATTCGGAAGGACTAATTTTTGGACTTGCGAGACGGAGTGCTGGGCCCGCTCGAGCTCTTTGAGCCATACACGTACTTTTGTTTCTTCTCGGCAGGTTTGAGAATCTGGTTCAGGTAGGTCAGCGATGGGAAAGCGGTGCGGGTTGGATTGGTGGAGGCGTCCATACCTGGAAGGAGCACAGTAGACTTTCGTCCACGCTCATCATGGCTCCAGCATTGTCAAACTCGCCACAGTAGTTTGGAGCGCTAAACAGGGTGACCAGTTGTCGCTTGGAGAAGAACTCGTAGCCGTCTTCCACAACTTGATGCGCCCGACAAATCAGGTCCATGTCATGTTTTTGCAGAAATCTCGAGACAACGTCGGGTCCGAAGGTGAAGGAGACCCCACGGTCATTCTCGCTCCATCCTGTGATATCCTTGTCGGGATCCGACCAGAGCAAGTCGCAGAGAAGACCGCAGTCGGGAATCTGTAACTCGTTAGAAAAGTGGACCACCCGGGCGCGAGTCTCGCAAGAAGGTTGCACTCACATCGGTTGGGCGCATGACGCGACGGATTTGTTCCATCGAGTTGAGGTCGGGGCTCAAGCCTCCGTGCATGGTGAAGATCTTCTCATCGATGATTGCGGCAATGGGCAAGCAGTTGAAGCAGTCCGTAAATGTCTTCCACAGCTTGATATTGTAACGGCGCTTGCACTCGTCATAAAACCCGTAGATACGGTTGATCGAGGCACACTCATGGTTGCCGCGCAGGATGAAGAAGTTCTCCGGGTACTTGATTTTGTAGGCCAGGAGTAAGCAGATGGTCTCGAGCGATTGTTTACCTCGATCGACGTAGTCGCCCAGGAAAAGGTAGTTCGCCTCTGGGGGGAAGCCGCCGTACTCGAACAGGCGCAGTAGATCGTAGTACTGGCCGTGGATATCGCCGCAAATCTATCAATCACCGTGTGAGCTTCACTGTAGCAGTTACTAGCTGCTCGGGAGGGTATGCACGTACCTTGATCGGGGCTTCCAGCTCGAGCAATATCGGCTGGGAGATGAAGATCTCGCGTGCCTTCGTGCACAAGTAACGGATCTCGGCTTCAAGCAGCTGAACTTGCTTCCCTGGTCTGCTTCCCCTGACTTCTAACAGGCGGTCGATGACAGAATCGAGATCCACCTCATTCTGGTCGGCCATGGTGGGATCGCCGCAAGCGGGGCAAGGGGGGTGGAAGGAAGGGCGGGCGGCGACCAGCTACGGTCGGATCTCACAAAGGTCGGGGAAACGATGTGTCTGGTCTTGCAGGTCGTAATACTAATCTGGACAGGGCCCATTCGAGTCAGTTGAGAAGGAAACGTTGACGTGGTGACAGTAGCTGACGCCAGTCAATGCTGGCGGCAGTGCACGTACCAAAATGGAAGGGTCGTCCCCGAGGCAGCCAACAGTCGGCTCAGCGAAGGAGTCCGGAAGGGACTTTAGCAGGGCAAGATGAAGATCGCAGGTATGAGGGCAACTTTAAACGTGCGGCAGTGGTGTTATCGCGGCGGGTGTCTGAGGAACCTGTGGCACAAGCAGGCTGAGGAGGTTTTTCTCGGCGCACGGCGGGCGGCGCAGATGCGGATGGTGAGCAGGAACAAACTTGACACAGTTTGATTTTTCTCGCCTCAGACAGTCACCAGAGCCGTGTTGTCGAGAGGGTCGCAGGGCTAAGTGGATGGATTGAGACTGATGCTGATCGCAAAGATGCAGTCAATGTTGAGGGGCGGCACAGTGGACACGCAACGCAGTGCAGTTGAGCGGTTCTGGGATAAGATGGACTGGATGAGTGGTGGATGAAAAGCAAGTGAGGGATGAGGGACGGAGGGAGGAGAGCTTGAGCCTGAGTGGATGGAGCCAAATCCTGGCTCAGGCGGTGTCTCGCTTGGCAGTCAACCTCGTCCACTCTGCCGCCTAACAAGGAAATTCTGCTTGGGTAATTTGTAGCAACAAGACGATGAAGCAGAAGAGAGAAAAGAGAGGAGAGACCGTCTGTATGGCGTGCAATGGCCTGCAGTGTGAAGTGCTGACTGGGCGAGGAAGGAGCAATGGCTGCATCCAACTTCGCACGGTGCAGGAAGCCGCAACTCAACAAAGTACCACAACTGCCAGCACTGCCCAATCGCCAACATCCGATGTTCAGTACTATGGGCTTTTGCAAAAGTCACCAGGCTGCCGGATAACTGTTGCGGCATCTATAGTATTGTGCACCACACGGGCTGTTGCTTTGTGGTGGGATGCTGACATAAAGCGCTCACTTTCTCCCTCATCTCACGTTGGTGGGCAGATATTCTCGTCTCCTACCCATGCCATCTTGATGCTGTGACGACCGGAGGAATGCAGGCCACCAACGCCACCTGTGAATAGCACGACAACCCCCCGTCCTAGCTGAGATTCTTTCGTTGCATTCTCCGTTGTTGGCTTTGCTGTCGCTCACTTGATGATTCACCTCTTGTCCGACGATCGGCCAACGGCTTGTATCCCGCGCATAGGAATGTCCATGGACCTCAAATTATTGTCAAGAGTCTCTCAGATGAGAAGCTGAGAAAATCGGCTTCGTTTTCAGCTATTTCTGGATGCCGAAGACCCCTGTTATGTAGGCGTACGCATGCTCCGGAGACGAGATGAGATCCTTCTGCTGTACATGTACTCCGTAAGCACTTTGTTCTTGGGGTCATGGCGAACCTGAAGCTTCTGGTGGCAGAAACATCGGCGGAAAGAGATTGCAAACATATCCATTCAATATCTCGATTAACTTCCAACCCGGTCCGTAGTCTCATGCTTTCATATCTCATGCAAGTCGATGAACTCTGAGACAATGTCATCGACACCGGTACATCAAAACGCTCCGTCGCTATGCATAAAACAAGATCAACGGACTCTCCCGCAATCTGGGCCACACAAGGACATCAGAAAGTACAGTGGCGCCTCCAGCTATACATGCCCGCCGAGTCTTCCTGCAAAACCACAACGAAAGGGTATCACAACGCAGTCTTGACAGCGATCCCAAATCACCACCGTGCTGAAAAACAATGCCGTCTAGTGCGCAAGTTGCAGGAAAAATTCCACCAAAGCGTGGTATAGCGCAACCTGTACCGCTTCAAGCCTTGCAGGCTCAACCCAGAGTCCGCCCACCGCTGACAATGATCTGATGGTGGCCTGATCGGTGCAGTGCATCATGGCCCATGTTTTGCCCCTGCAAAACTTCAAACTGGTGGCTGTTATGCCAGTTCTGTTCTCCCAGCGCACTTAGCCAATTGCTTCCAAATTCTTGGCGGAGTGCTTCCACCTTGGCTCGATAGTCTTCCTGTTGCTTTGTGGGCTCGCTTGAGACAACAGAAAGAGCATCTGTGGAGCCGTCATAACCATCTTCGACCAGTGTCTTTATGGTTATCGATCTCGGGACCGTTGGGTCGATGGACAACCGAGCCGCGTCATGTGTGACCACATTAGCACCGTGACCAAGAGTCGCAGCCAAATCCTCGTCAGGAACTCGCGCAAAAGTCTCGTCGTGCGCCAAATCAACAATCCGTCGCCGAGGCGCCCTCTTTCGTCGAGAGCCGTTCGTCAAGACCTCCGCCACGTCAGACGAGCTGGGCTGAGCAGAGTTGGCCAGTTGCACAATCACAGGCTGCTCGGCGATTCGAATTGACGGCTGAATAATCTGCCTCTCGACTTCGGGAACTCGGTCGACCAGTTGTTTGCGCTCCGAATAGCCTGGACCGGATTTGTCAATGACAATATCATCCACGTAGCCCGGAGTGCTTCTAAAAAGATTGAATGTGGTTATTCGATAGTCAGTGTGAGTCTGAGTGAAGGGGTTTCGTTTGACCCAGACTCGCTTGAGGTTCGGAATACCGGTTAGCCTCGCCATTTCCATAGGGTCAGCCAGCTTATTGTCTTGAATGTTGAGCTGCTCTAAAGAAAGTAACCGTTCCACACCTGCCAACGAGTTGAGGCGGTTGCCTCTCAGGTTGATCGTCAGAACTGCGGGGAGCGGCGACCTTGACAGCGATTGCAATGAACCGATCATGCAATTCGACAAGTCAAGAGACACCAGCCTCGTCAGCGATGCTAGGCCATCGGGGATCTCGGTGAAGAGATTCGAGGAGAGATTCAGAGATCTCAGAGTGCTCGCTATCGGAACTAAGCTCTTCGCGGAGATGGTAGTCATGGAGTTGTCGGCAAGAGAGAGATACTTCAGTCTCTGCCATTTCGAGGAAGGTAAGATATTCAGGCTCAGAATATTGGGACTGCTTTCGCTACGATGAGCCTGGATTGAGTATTCGCTGGAATATGAACTGCCAGACCCTGTTCGTTTTACGGTAGTCGAGTATGTCCGGATATGCCTGTAAGAGCTGGCAGGGCGGGACGCGCCGGGTCTCTTAGGAGACACACTCCCCGAGAGTGGTCTCGTTTTGTTTCCTGGTCCGATGGCTTCTTCTTCATTCTCTAGACTCCCTGGATTGGGGGACCCTGGGTCGGAATGGGACTGAGCATATTCCGCTCTGGGAGTCGATGGCACTGTCCAGGAGGCACTCATTGTGGGAGATCCCCGGCCTCCCTTGGTTGACCGCCTGCGACGCTTCTCCGCATCATCAAGAACTATGTTGGTGAGCAGCTCGGTAGGGTCAGAGACATTCGCTCGCTTAACAGTAAGCAGAGTCAATTGTTCAGCGAGTCGATCCCAACCATAGAACTGGCGGAAGTCAAGGTCCACAATGTCCAGCTGCTGCAGGTTTTTGAAGGCAAATAATGGGACAGCGGTATCGAAGGGAAACTCCTCATAGCCCCTGATCAGCCGAGCGCGGTGGTCACTAGTGAGGCGTAAAGAAGGAAGCTTGGTAAAGGCAGAATAGAGATAGGTCAGGTCGGCCTGCGTGAGAGCTTTGGCCTTCTCGCTCTTGGAGTTATTTCCTCCGAGGCCGATGGATGACCAAAAGGAGCTCATTCCCGACATGACGCTGCGCATACTTGAGACCGAATGTACCGAGTCTTTATCGCTGCGGCCTTTGGCAGGTTTATGAGCTTGCAAGAAGGAGACATAGTTGGAGGGAGTAGGATCGGTACTCAGGTTCTCCAGGCGAATGTTCATTGGACCGACTGTGATGTCCAGCTCTTCCATGCGCGAAAGGAGGTAGAAAAGATGGTGGGGAGTAAGGGTCAGGAGGGCCGCTTTCGCAGCATGAGACCTGAAGCTCAGACCGGCAAGAGAAAATGCTGCCGCTAAGGCGCTTGTCGAGTTGGTCGCGTTCGAGCTCGCTATGCCAGAAGTCACAGTGGTGTTGTTTGTCGATACCGTAATTCCGGTCGACTGCCGCCTGTGGACGGACATTTGTAGGCTGTTGGCGAGAGCCTTCTCATGTTGGCGAATGAATTGCGCCAATGACTATTAGAAACCATGCTCAATCAGTAATGCTCTTGACAGAGGAGAAATCGGGCACCCATGCAAGCTGCCTGCAACCGTGCACATTCTCGTCTCGACCATAATCCAGAATGCACTCACCCGGATGAAGTGGTGCCCATCCTCTGTTTGCAGGCGGTCCATCTCCTGCTCTCCAGAACTTCGAGGTCCGAGTCTTCTCTCAATGCCTGGGAATGGTGCTCAAGGTAAAGAGTGTAAAGGATCAGTGTGCGCGGTCAACACTGGTTGCAAAATCAGCCGAGAATTCATTCCATGCTTGCTGTCTGAGAGAGTTGGAACGTACGAGAGTCCTGCATGGAACTCATGGTGGCATGTGGCAGGTAAAGAGGCCGGGTTGATGCCTTGCCAACGTGACCGCAGTCTGGGTGGGAAGGTGCAGATGTGCCTGTGTCTCTCCCTCGTGATGCTTCAAGTAAGACAGATTCTGTATTTCACCCAGAGATGGAGGCAGAACACTATCTATATGAGCGTGAATTGGGACGTTCAACCACCTGCCGTGTAAGCACAGAGGGTTGCGTGACAGGTGCAGGCGGGCAACCGAGGGCCTCGAAGGGTCAGGGTGAGGTGAGCCGTGGGGTTCTGATGAGGCTGAGAGTCGACGTGAGGGTGTGCAGGTAGAAACGAGAATAGCAGCAAAGGACGGAACGTGAAGCAGCCAACACTCTGAGGAGGTTATGAAGAGATCCGAAGTAGCGAGGAATGGTGGTGGAGGGTTCCTAGAAAGTATCTCAGGTGGTTACTCCGTTAAGTGCTCGTGGTGCGAGTCTTGAGTGGGATGGGATGGATGGAGCGTGCAGAGTTTTGCTATCAAACGAGTAACAAAGTTAGATTGCTCTGGCATAAGTGGAGGAAACGGCGGGCCATTGGCGGTGGGCGTCCTCAACTGCAAGCGACACGGGCTTCTTTCACTAGAGGAGATCAGATGCCGGGCCCTTAACTAGCGGGTGACCAGGGCAGGTAAGACTTTTGTCGCCATCACTCGCATATCGTCGCCTCCCCAAACTGAACCCTAGATACCCACAGTGCCCATAGCGTCCCGACTCAAGTCACTTGTGTCTTCACCTGCGAACTTTGTGCTGCTCACTGGGGTATCTGTTTGTGGTTACGAGAGGCAGTCGTATTCCACGGACATAGTGGGCACGGTGCCCGGGAGGAATCAAGGTTACAAGGTCTCCGCAGCTGCTAAGATCGACGTTGATATTCCTACGTCTTTCTATGCTTGGGAGCTTGTCATTCCCCTAGGTTTAATCTCAACGTCCATCTATACCCACAACCTCGTGCTGTGCGGAACGGTGCTGACACGTATTCTATCACGAGAACAACTAAACTGGCAGTGGCAAGGGCACCCTCTCGCCCTCATGCCCGAAAATGCCGAAGTTTCACACCCTCTCGAGCTCCCCTCGTCATTGACCTCGTAATCCGTATATCCATTCCCAGCTCGCAAGTCATTCCACGGCCTGTTCGAGCCACCTATCATATGTCGCAATCCGCTCCGTTGATGACCGGGCGGCTGGCTCGGGCCTCGCTTGCTTCTCAGATACGGCGTTGCTGAGCATGCGGTCAATCCTGACGCCGTGTTGGTGGGCGGTTTTCGGGGCGATCCACGAGACTTCAGACATACGGCAGTATTCTTTCGAGCATTGCCTTCCCTTGACATTTTTTGGCAGCCAACCAGACTCCCTTGCATACCTTAGAAGCAGCCTAGCTATGTCAGCTCGGAAGGAGCTGGTCCAATTGACGAGCCTATGGCCTCATTGTGCGTGATATTGCGTCTACCGTGCAGGCGAGACAGGCTCCCGCCATTCGGCGCCTCAATGCGCCCCAACTCCAGTGCGCTCCGGGTAAATCTCTTCTTGACTTGGCTGGTTTGGATATTTGAAACGACAAAGACAGTAACTCGATCAGGCTCTTCTTTTCCGCTGCATGGAGCGTACGATTCACCTCCTGCATGCTGAGCGACACACGCAAATCACAAAGCTGTAGCAAGAAACATCGCACAGACGGGATGGCCATGTAGTCCTGTCTTGCCTCTTCTCTGTCTGTGCACCGTGAAAGACAGGCCAGGCTATTGACCGCTATTCCAATGACAGCGGCACGCCGCGGCGTGTCACAGTCTGGACCTTTCGACACAATACTTGCAGGAGATGTGCGCCGTGTGACACAGGAGGCTGCAGGAGAATCCATCTCACTGACCACAGGTTCATTATCGACACGGTCTGAGCGTGGACGAGGCCCGCTAAGCAAGAATGCTCCGTGCGATTGTGGAGCGGACATTGGTCGAGCACACACTCCTTAGCGCGTCTATCAACTGCAGCTCCGGAGGACCTCATGACCACCCCGACGCGCAGGGAAGTGGCATTGACATTAAAGTCATTGAGCCAATACATTACGGAGCTGATGGATCGCTGAGTCTCGTGCAAGATCTACGGTGAGAGTTAAAGGGGCAGTGGCCGGCAAGCATACCACGATGCCGTTCCCTGAATGTCCTTCGGGTGCAAAGGGACGACTGTCACAGCTCTCGTCCAGCTCAGGATAGCTTTTCGAGGACACAGCGTTATGCACGCAAGCTGCTTAGCCGGTTCAGTTCGCTTCCTTAACTGCCTACGGATTTAATTAGCGAGGGGTTGGACGGCCACCCCGCCACTTTGATGCCAAGCGTGGGGGATTGTGTTACACCATGCACCCAGACAATCGAAGCAGCTGAGGATGAGGTGTGACGGAATCGATGCACTAGATGAGAAGCGGTGCCTATTGGGCAGCAAGATCAGTCTAGGATTCGTGTTGACGTGCCTCACTCAAGCGGACTTGTTCTGCCGAGCCACGGTGATTTGCCAATATTCCTTATATCTGGCTTCGAGGAAAGTATCGAACATAAAAATCCCAGGGTTTGGGCTTCCGAATCGACCTCATCCCACCCCACAGTCTACCAGCCCCTTTGGGTCTGAACCAGGAATCTGCGCAGCGACGCACAGCCGAACGAAAGTGTCCACCGCTTAGTCCGCCCTAGAGACAGAGCCGGCGGTGATCTGAGGCGAGAAGGCCAATGACCTGAGGTATCAAAGCTACGATTAGAGCACCGCCCCGGAGTAGCACGAGAGATGGTTTTCACATGCTTCACGTCTTCCTCGAAAGAGTAAACTCTGAATATTATCATAATGTTCTCCCCAGCTTACTTTCTACCTCTCACATCACAAGACTTCTGGGTAACCAAGCTCCAGCGCGTGAAGCAACACTGTCCAGAGTACATCTTTTTCTTTCTCAACTCTCGTACAGCCATCAGGCGCACAAGATGACCGCCTCTTCCGCAAAGAACTGCTTCGAGAGACCACTGACGGCGTTAAGCATCGCCTGGATTCTGCCGTCTGGCTCAGGGTCAAATATACGGAGTATCGGGCAATGATAAAGCTTTGATAGTCGGTGCGGTGCCAGCTCGCGCCGATATTTCCAGACAAGGCGCCATTTGGGAAGCGCCTCTTGTTAGCTGCAGAGGGTCTTGTTAGGTGCTTACCGACAGTGGATCTTGGTGAGGTTACAGGCCGTCGACAAACGACTTGCATCTGTGCATGCTCTCAAGCTCCTTCAGGCGATAAGTCGTCTCCAGTTCATGTGGTAACCCCCACCAAAACTCGAGCTACTGTATCGCTCACCATTCCACCGAAATGAAATTTTTGTTCACAAATCACCGTCGCCATCGCCCGCATGTTTCCCTCGACAACACTCGTTGATCTTTGATATTTATTTGGCGAATATCAGGTATTGATCGATCCTGGGCTGATTCGTCCCGTTGTTCAGGTAGACTTTTGACTCGCGCAGAGGTCTTCCATAGTGCCCTAGAAAGGTGGCGGTCAGAGTGTCTCTCAGGGAATACTGTATAGACGGAACTGTGCACGGAATCTCAAGTCGCAGATCGCGAAGACCCGCCGTGCCTTTCACCATGCCCCTCCAGCTCGCCGAAATGGTGGCTCCAGAGGCAACGAAACCCCCGAGATTTATCCCTCGGGCAGCGTCATGGACCCTGCAGCATCCCTACGGAACAAGATATTGTGCTTCCTACGTAAATGGCCCTTGTGATCCCGTCTTCGGTCCAGAACGACCACTTGCTTCTGAGCGCAAGATGTGTAGATCTTCAGCCTCTTACTGGGTATATCCAGTTGCTTTGATCCTAACTTCGACATGGCTTTGCGGGAGATTTGCTGATCGCAGGGACGGGTGGGTGAACACCGTGCAAGGTCGCTGGCAGCAGTGTGACATCTTCGTAGGATGGAGTACGGGAGCAGTTTGACATTTCAGCATTAGCATGCCAGGTGTTCTAATGCTTAAGATAGCCTGTGTTTGTGCGACTTGGAGCGGTGGTACGGAGTACCTCGTCCAGCGGTGCCACCCGGGCGTGTGGCTTATGATATGGAGCCCAAGTTTTCCTGGGGAAGTGGCGCAGTGCCAAGCATTCCGAGCCTCAACGCCCAACAGAAGTGGCGGAGGGAGCGTCAGACATCACCAGACATACCTTTTTCTTTTTTTGCCGCATCATTATTATTCTAGTCTCCTCCCCATCATCCCAAGCCTTCGTGACAGCATGAGCCTCCCTTAGAGCTCTCTACACGACGATGTCACAATTATGACCATGAATGGAAGCAAGGCCGACGTCGCGGCAACCCCTCCATCTACCGGCACCTATGACCCGCATGACCTGCCGGACTACGAGACCGATTTTATTCGTCGGTCGGATCTCGAGAGCTTTGCAGAAGCCCTGACTGCTCCCACTACTGAGCCTGTAACAGCCCTGAACGACTGGGGCCCGGTCCGCCAACGAGTTAAACGGGCTCGGGTCAAACGGAAAACTACAAGGCGGTCCAAGGATGAAACGCGAGAGGGCTTCGTCTACACACTTCTGTACTACCCTTTGCTGTTCG